AGACACCTAGACATTCATAAACTTAAAAGAGTGGGTCATTAGAGTTGTAAGCTTTTAGAAAACAAAGAGTATTTATATCTCTTCCGTGTGTCTTTCTTGCTTAGCAACTTTGTGTGAGGAAGGCCGACTTGGTTTGTCTTAGAGAAGAAGAGAGCCAAGTGCCGCACGTGAGCTTAGGAAATGCCAAGTCCGTGACAAGTGGTATCGGAGCCGAGTTTTATCAAAGTATGAGTAAGCTTGCTCGCTAATTAAAGTGTTCAAGAGAGTAAGCATGTCTAGTTTTGGCATGGAGGATGTTGATGAGGATGCTAGGAATGAGACTCTACCTCCTCGACCTAAGAAAGGAAGGGGGAAGTCTCGTGATGTATTAGTCTCCTTAGAGGAGCGACTCGTGAAGGCGGAGGAACACCTTGTCGATTTCAAGGAGAGACTCGAGGAGATAGAAGGAGATGATGAGGGGGAGACATTAGGCATGGTAGGCCTACATGAGGTGCTCTCCAATCTCTAAGCTTGAGTGGAAACGGTTAAGAGGTGTGCCAAAGAGAGCGCTGCCGAAAAGGATGCCTTCATGGAATGGACAAAGGAAAGGTTCAAGCAACATTAAGAGTATATGACCGGGTATGAGCAAACTCTTGAACAACTTAAAAAAGATTGGGAAAATTATCGAGAAGCTATCTTGAATGGTGTGGTCTTAAGGGACACGCCAAAAGTTGAAGTGCCAAGACCAAGGCACTATATTGGCAAGCGAGATACCAAGGAAGTGGATAACTTCTTTTGGCAAGTAGAGTAATGTTTCGAGGCAATGGGCTTGACCGAGGATAGAAGTCGTGTCAAGATCGCTACCCTCTATCTTTCGGAGGACGCTCGCTTTATGGTGGCGTATGAAACACCAAGAGCTCAAAGAGGAAAATCTAGAGTTGTCTAGTTGGGATGAATTCAAAAAAGCCATGTATGCTCAATTCTACCCCAAGGAAGCTGATTGGGAAGCACGGGACAAGCTACGAACATTGAAGCATACGGGGAACTATTCACGAGTATGTTCGAGAATATCTTTCTTTTAAACTTCGAGTACGTGGCAAACCCGACTATGATCATATGTATGATTTTATTAAGGGACTTCAATCATGGGCACAACAAAGAGGTGCGAGGTCGACGGCCTAAGACCTTCGTCGAAGCTATGGCCATAGCTGAATCCTTAATTGAATATAACAAAAGGGCGTAACTCTCCAAGCCTAAGAAAGACTTTAAGGGCAAAGGTGAGGGAGCCTATGAGAAGAAGAGGTATAGAGATGGGCAAGACAAAACACATAAGTCCAAGAGCTTTGTCAAAGAACATGATAAGAGAGAATTCAAACCCAAGGGTTGCTACTTTTGCAATGGGCCATATTAGTAGAGAGAGTGCCCTAAGCGACAAGCCCTCGATGCCTTGATGGAGGAGAGGGAATGTGCCTCCGAGCTTGAGAAGCATATGGGATCGTTGCGGCTTCTCAATATCTTGAATGTCAAGCCCTCACCTAAGGTGCCACCAAAGGATGGGCTTATATACATGGATGTGGACGTGAATGGCAAGGCCGCGCTTGCCATGCTAGACACGGGAGCCACACATAATTTCATGGCCGAGGATGAGGTTAAAAGACTTGGCTTGGTGGTGACCAAGTCATCAAGTAGCATGAAGACCGTGAATGATTCCCCTAAGCCTACTTATGGCATAGCATATGGGGTAAGGCTTAGCATAGACGTATGGAAAAGGACGTTAGATTTCACCATTATCACAATGGACGACTTCAAGGTTGTGCTAGGCATGAAGTTTTTTAAACAAGTGAAAGCCGTGCCTACACCTCACTTGGAGCAAATGGTGATCATGAAAGAAGAAATACCATCCATGGTGCCGGCCAAGGTGCACGCTAAATGGGACTTGAAGCATCTATCGGCTATGCAAGTAAAGAAAGGCTTCAAGAGAGAAGAAGTCACATACTTGGCAACTTTAAGAGAAGATGGGATGGTAGACGATGAGAGTATGGAGATACCTAAAGAGATTGCCAATGTATTGGCCGAATTTGATGATGTGATGCCACCCGAGTTACCCAAGAAGTTGTCATCAAAAGAGAAATCGATCACCAAATCGAATTGGTGTCGGGTGCCAAGCCGCTAGCCATAGCACCTTATCGAATGGCCTCGCTCGAGTTGGAGGAATTGAGGAAGCAATTGAAGGCCATGTTGGAGGCTGGAAAAATACAACCCTCCAAGTCGCCTTATGGCTCGCCCGTCTTGTTCCAAAAGAAGCATGATGGATCGTTGAGAATGTGCGTGGACTATCGGGCATTAAACAAGGTCACGGTGAAAAATAAGTATCCAATCCCATTGATAGTGGACTTGTTTGATCGGTCGGGAAAAGCTCGGTTTTACACTAAGCTTGATTTGAGATCGGGGTATTATCAAGTTCGAATTACTCGTCGAAGATGTGCCAAAGACGGCATGCGTGACAAGGTATGGTTCCTATGAATTCTTTGTTATGCCATTTGGCTTGACTAACGCCCGGCTACCTTCCGCACCTTAATGAATAAGGTATTTCAACCATACTTGGATCGGTTCATAGTGGTATATCTTGATGATATCGTGGTTTATAGCTCTATATTGGAGGAGCATTTAGACCACCTACGTACTGTATTCAAGGTACTAAGGGAAAATGAGTTGTATGTCAAAAGGGAGAAGTGGTATTTTACAAAAGAGGAAGTACTCTTCTTAGGACATAAGATTAAAGGAGAAAGGTTAATGATGGATGAAGCCAAAGTCAAATCTATCTCGGAATGGGAAGAGCCAACCAAAGTACCCGAGCTTTGCTCTTTCCTTGGATTAGTCAATTACTATTGGTGCTTCATCCGTGACTACTCGAAGAAGGCGGCCCCTCTCACCGACTTGTTGAAGAAAAACAAGAGATGAGAGTGGAGTGATCGACGCCAAAAGGCTTTCGAAGAGTTAAAGCAAGTTATCATCATAGAGCCGGTGTTGAGCTTGGCCGACCTAACCAAGCCTTATGAGGTACACACCGATGCTTCGATTTTACTATAGGTGGTGTGTTGATGTAGGAATAACATCCTATAGCTTAGAGAGCCGAAAGCTAAATGACACCGAACAACGATATTCGATGCAAGAGAAGGAGATGATCGCGAGTGGTGTATTGCTTGCGCACTTGGAGACACTACTTGCTAGGGTCCCAATTTATGGTGAAGATGGACAACGTAGCCATAAGCTATTTTCAAACTCAAAAGAAGTTGACGTCAAAACAAGCTCGATGGTAAGACTTTCTTGCAGAATTTGATTTTATCTTTGAGTACAAGCCGAGCAAGACCAATATGGTGGCCGATGCACTTAGTAGAAAGGTTGAGTTGCATCACATGACGAAGGTTGATGGAGAGATCGTGGCCGAGAATCAAGGAAGGAGTGGAGCATGATCCCATCGTCAAGAGTTTGTTGAGCCTTACAAAGGAGGGCGGAACTCGAAAATTTTAGGAGGAGAATGGCATTCTCTACACAAAAGAGAGGAGGATTTATGTACCTAAGTGGGGAAACCTCCGATGAGATTTGATGAAGGAATGCCATGACTCGATGTGGGCTGGACATCCGGGACAACAACGCACTAACGCCTTCTTGGAGGGAGCATACTTTTGGCCACCGTTGCGTGATGATGTGGAGTCCTATGTGAGAACATGTTTGGTGTGCCGGCAAGATAAAGTTAAAAATCGAGCGCACTGGAGGTCTATTGCAACCTTTTCCTATCGCGGAGAGACCATGGAAGACAATTACCATGGACTACATAGTGGCTTTGTCAAAATCGGAGAATTTTGGGAGCATTATCGTAGTTGTGGATAAGTTCTCCAAGTATGCCACTTTGATACCAGCCACTAGCGGATGTGACGATCGAGAACACCGCTAACCTACTCTTCAAACATGTGGTGAAGTATTGGGGTGTGCCGCGACATATAATCGATGATTGAGATCCTCGATTTACTGGGAAGCTATGGACGGAGTTATTTGAGTTGTTAGGCTCGAAGCTCCATTACTCCATAAGTTTTCACCCTCGGATGGATGGGCGGACCGAGAGGGTTAATGCCTTGTTGGAGACATACTTGAGGCACTTTGTGAGTGCTAACCAACGAGATTAGGCTAAGTTGCTAGATGTTACCCAATTCTCCTACAACTTACAAAAGAGTGAGTCTACTAGCAAGAGTCCATTTGAGATTGTGACGGGTCGGCGACCTCTCACTCCACATACGATGGCGCTTGGTGACAAGTACCAAGGAAGCGACCCAAGTGTATATTCGTTGGCCAAAGAATGGCGGGAGCGAGCGGACTTGACGCGAATGTATTTGAACAAGGTGCCACGAAGATAAAGAAGTGGGTCGACAAGAGACGAAGAGATATCACCTTCCAACCCGGTGACAAGGTGATGCCGAAGTTGCTACCACAGCAACATAAGACATTTTGAAAGGTGCACAAAGGCCTCATACGACGATATGAAGGACCATTTGAGGTAGTGCGCAAGGTGGGAGAGGTGTCCTATCGCCTAGAGTTGCCACCAAAGCCGAAGATCCATCCGGTATTTCATGTTAGTATGCTAAAACCATACCATACGGATGAGGAGGATCCAAGCCGAGGAGTTTCTCATAGAGCACCTACGGTAGTAGTTGACTCGTATGACAAAGAAGTTGATGTCATACTTGATGGCCGCATAGTTAGATGCCGTGGAGTGCCACCAAGGAAGGAGTACTACGTAAAATGGAAGGGATTACCCGATAGCGAGGCTAGTTGGGAACCTGCCGAAGCCTTGTGGTAATTCGCACGGAAGGTCGAAGAGTATAATGAAGGTGCGCCGAGGACGTCGCCGAATTAGGTAGGGGAGAGTGTTATGCTCGCCTAAAAGAGGGATTTTTCTAGAGATTATAAAGAACACTAGATAAGTCTAGAAGCTTCTAGAAGAGTATGAAACAATGGAGAAGCCTCTAGATAAGTCCGGAAGCTTCTGAAGAATATGGAGCAAAAGAGAAGCCTCTAGATAAGGTCGGAAGCTTCAGAAGAATACGGAGCATTGGAGAAGTCTTTAGGATGATCTAGAGAATTCTAGAGAGTCTCTCACTAATCTAACATGTATATATTTAGATAGTTCCTTGAAAATATCTAGATAGGATATTTCTAGAGAACCAATTGTAACCATTAGATTAAATAGATCCTAGCCATCCATTGAGGAGGTGGAAGGCTATAAATAGGTGGGGCCTTCACTTGGCCACGACACCTAGACATTCATAAACTTAAGAGAGTGGGTCTTTAGAGTTGTAAGCTTTTAGAAAGCAATACAAAGAGTATTTATATCTCTTGTGTGTGTCTTTCTTGCTTAGCAACTTTGTGTGAGGAAGGCCGACTTGGTTTGTTTTAGAGAAGAAGAGAGCCAAGTGCTGCATGTGAGCTTGGGAAAGGCCAAGTCCGTGACGGGGAGCATACCTCTTTAACCATTAAGGCCAATTCCCTCGCATTGCCTTGATAAGTTCGGAAATGTCATCGGGAATTCAAGATTTCCCTGGTAATGTGAGGCAAGTGTCTCATTTTGACCAACTCTTGAATGCGGAGATTTTACTCTGCAAACAAAAACTAAATTTTTATGCTGTATACAAGTCATTCTTTTCTTTTTTCTTTCTCGAAACATATACCAATTTTGCTGCTACATCTTTTAAATTGTTCCAGCTTCTATACCATTCGTGACAAGTACCTCCACCTCTTTAAAATGGGCTAACCTCTACACAAGACACAGCTAGTGGAAATAAACCATGTCTTGAAAATTTTCAGACATGCAACGCTCTCAATTAGTTCATTATCATCATTTATACACGATAAATCATACCGACTTCAATCAATGCAGTGTGTGGGATCCCAAGTGAAGTTGCAGGACGCCGGCTATTGCGTCTAAGGAATCCATAGCCAAAGTTAATCACAAACTTCTTCAGAACGCATGATGCCTCACTAGCTATAACGCAAGCATGTCCTATCATGTAAGACACACCAGCTTCCTTTGCCTCCATCAGTTCATTTACATCTTCACTTGCTCCCTGCAGACATTGGAACCGCAATTTTCTTCTTCTCTGCGTTTCTGCACAAAGCAATGACTGCTCTATCACTATCATTTCTTCCCTATTCAATTCGCATTTCAAGAACTCTAATATCTTTTCAATCAGTTGGGTTTCAAATTCATAGCTATCCCTGATGTCCTTATATCCACACCTAACGATAGTGAAAGAGAAAAGAGTCAAGAACTTGCTATCATACGACTTATTAGTGCTCAGGAGCTTGGATGATAATTTGATAACAGTGACATCCTTAATGAGTTGGTATTTTCACCAGAAGAGAAAAATTCAGAGAATGCAGACAAAATTTACCACACGATGCACCGGAATAGAAGGAGCTCTGGCGAGCCAATCGTAGAAATGTGGAAACGATCACCGACTGGAACTGTCGGGACCATCAAAGATTGAATGGTCACGAAGATAAGAACCTGATGGAATGCAGGAAAGTTGGTGACAAAATGTGCAAACATTGGTGGGACGCTAGAGGTAACATGAGAGTAAACGAGGCAAATTCCAGGAACTCTTGCTACTCCCAGGCTTGGTCCAAGGCTCAAAAGGCTGTCAAAGCTAACCTTGTTCTCCAGCTCAAATGCCTGCTTTTTCGAAGTCCCGTAATGCCATATCGACATCAGAGACACAACTACTGCAGAAACAAGAAGGGGAAACCAGCCTCCTTTGTGTACTTTAGAAAGGCATGCGCCGAAATAGGACAATTCCACAAATCCGAAAATTGCTACGAAAAGGAACGCAAGAAAAACATCTCGCTTCCACACGGTACTAATGATCAAAAACATCAACAAGGTTGTGATAAACATCACCGTGATTACTGCCAGACCTGCAGATTCAGTAACAGCATTAAATAGCTTATTCACACATAGATATGAACACAAACAGAAAGGCAACGTGGTTGCTCGAGAGAGTGAGGAAACACAAACCGTATGCATTGCCAATAGTAGCAGTGTCTCTAAATCCAACAACAACAGCAAGGGATGAAATCATTAATACCCAATTCACCTCTGGTATGTAGATTTGTCCATGAATGTTATTTGATGAGTGCACTATCTTTACTCGTGGGAAGCAATTGAGAGCCCTACATTGACTAATAATGGAGAAAGTGGCTGAAATTATTGCTTGGCTTCCCACCACCGTTGCAAGAATGGCAATAATATATACTGGCCAAAATATGATACCTGAAAGCATAGGAAAACCAGACAAATGAAACAAAAGGAAAGGGGAAGAGAGAGGTTGTCTAAAACCCATGTGCGTGAATGCTATGGCAACTAGAAATTCAAAATGTATACAAAAAATTTCAGTTCAGCTATACGAAGTTGGTCACCTACATCATTACGAAGACACAAGAAGCCAAGACGGCTTCTAGCATCCATTTCTTTTCTATATTTTTTGTATGTAAGACTTATTAAGAATTACCTGGTACAGCCTTGTAAAAACTACTCTGCACATCACTTTTGTTCATGGAAAGATAGGCAGCTTCACCCATGTAAGCCAGAACCAAGCAAGGGTAGACAAGTCCTGTAAATGCAATCTATTGGAAAGTAGCATGATCAATAAATCAATCTTAATGTTAACCCTTTCAATAGCTTATTACATGAGTATATTAAAGAGAAAGTACCCTGACAGAAAGATCTGAGAAATGTCCAAGATCAGCAAACATAGCTTCTGCACCTGATAGAGTCATAAATTGGATTACGTAAAGAGAAGCTCAAAATCAGCAACATGAAGAAAAAAAAAAAAAGAACATTATCTCCTTTAGAATCAACCTGTAACACAGAGAACAATGCCTCCTAATGAACTCCAACCAGCTTTTCCAGCTTTTTAAAAAAAGTTGTGGATATAGTAAGGTGATAGAGCTTTGACAACTTCAGGGTTCCAATGGAATATGTTGTAAAGGCCAACTCCACTGATGCACAGCAACCAAGCAATCAAAATTGGAGCAAAAAGAAACCCAACTCTATGTGTTCCGCAATGCTGAAGTGCAAAAAGGCCAACTAAGATCACACAGGCAAGGGCAGCAGTATAATCTGGCACTTACAAACACGTCAGAAACTGGCTAAAGATCTTTCTATATATGTTTTCTTGTAAATCGGATTAAGATTGTAACCTACCCTCATGCAAGTTAGCCTTTTACTACATTCGATAGATAGGAGCGACAGAAATAAAACTATACTAGTTCAAGGACTAAATTATGAAACTCAATAATCCAATATTTAGCATTTTACTACATTCAGGGAAATAAAAAACAAAGGACTAGCTATGGACAAAAATGTTACAGAGGCCAGACAGTAGTTTTTTTGATATGGTAAGGAAAAGTTGAAGCAAATTCTTGATCATTCATGCCAAAGGCATAGCTAAAATTTGAACAAAGTAGTTTATGAAATGATCAAGGTCAACAAATTAAGTACAAGATACAACTTGAACTTAGATAAACACAAGAAATGTTGGACAAATGATTTACGGAAAAAGAGAAGAGAATTATCATTTACTCCTTGTATTTTTTTTTTTTTATAATTTATAAGGTAATTCTTTAAGTTTTGAAAAGACGAGTTAGTCTCTTTATCAAAATTAAACTGTTAGCTTTTTTCAAATTGTAAAAACTACCATATTAAAATGCTTTTTTTTTTATTGAAAAATTTTACAAGAGAAAAAGGATATTTTAAGGAAAAAAAACAGTTAAATTATAAATAATAATTGATGGAAGGACTAAGTAATAAACAAATACAAAAAATACAAGGATTTAATATGGCTTTTGAAAACTAAAGGGATTAACTAATTATTTTGATAAAAACATGAGGACTAACAATAGTTTACCAAAAAGAAAAGAATAACTTAGCAATGGACCATCAACTGTCAAACCATCCATTAGACTGGAATTCAAGTGCTAGCAAATGAAATCATACTAGGTCACAGTATAAGTATTTTGAAGATAAAATTAGTCATTTGTTATTATTATTATTATTATTTTAAAGGAACAGAGTGAAACGACATGCCATCGGCAAAAAGTTTTGCCGGCGATCTACACCAATGTACAGGTTATTAAGCTAAACAGCAAGCTGTTCAATGAACGACATGTCTCATCGGGGTCGGGTTAGCATGTAATTTTGGCGTAACTCGTAAGTAATTATTTAACAGCCTATGTATGGTCCCACTTGGTTTGGTCGTAGAACATCATGTTTAAATATTCAGTCTGACTCATTCGACGCTTATCATGTGAAGTAGTATTTAAAATTGTTCAGAAAACTAATACGATAACATTCCTTATCCAATAATAAAATATCTACTGAAAGATAAATACGTTAATCAATTACCAATCATGCATATACAGTTAATTTTTTATTAAAAATATTATAATGCTTTGATTTTTAGTTTTTATAAAAATAAATTATAAATAATTATTAAAAAAACCCTCTAAAATATCTTTTATTAAAAAAATATTTTGAGGTTATTTGGATGCCGACACATTCAGCTATTATTTTTTTATTATACTGCAAAACTTTTCTAGGTAGGATTTTTTTTTTTTTTTATCAACGGTTTGTTTTATGAACTACGAAATTACTTTTATTATCTAGTAATTATAATAATTAATACAATTCAATTAATTAATGAAATGAGATTCATGTTATTCTTTTGTAATTTAATTTAAGAATAATCATTTAAATAAGAAAAATACGAATAAATATGATTATGAGTATTAGTAATTTTCTAAATCTTAATATATTGATAGAAAAATAAAAAAAATAAAAACAATCAGTAGTGCTAGTTTTTAATTAATCAAAACTCAATATTTTTTATCAAACAATTAAATTAAATTATAAGATAAATATATAACATATTTTGGTAAATTAATTAAATATAACATGGTCATCCACAATATACATACATATCTTAAAAGATAATAATTTCGTTTAAAATATAAATAATTACCATAAAACCCTCTAAAATTTCTATCTAAAAAATTCATCAATTTGTTTTTAAATCTTTCAAATACAAAATAATATTTTGCTTACAAGAATATATTTTTTTAAAATCTTCCAAATCCAAAACAATATTTTTCTTATCAAAACACCCACTATATTAGTGGGTGTTTTGATAAGAAAAATATTGTTTTGGGTTTAGGAGATTTAAAAATAAATTGAAAAATTTCTTATATAAAAGATTTTTTAGAAGGTTTTTCTAATAATCATCCATATATATATATATATATATTACTCAGCATATCAAAAGTTGTATTTTTTTTTCTTATGCAAAAACATAGAATTTATGAATTAATTTTATAATAAATCTTATAATTTAATGTCAGAACAGAATACAACTCTTAACATATCTAATAATTTCTAATTTCTTTACACAAAATCTTAATTTGACACAATTTTTTATACAAACACCTTCCTTCTTCTTCTTCTTTTTTTTTTTTTTAAAAAAAAAACTCCTAAATCCTTTTCTTTTTCTCTTTAGAGAACCGATATATCATCTGAAAAATTGAACTCCTGAACATCAATTTTATTCTGCAAAAACTGAATACTAATTAACACAAATTAGGAATGCCATTGAAATGAAACGGAAGTAAAGATATATGTGAATTCATTCAAGAAAGGGAAAAAAAAAAAAAACGCAACTGAACTGAAAATGCATAATTCAGAGTCTGCAAAAAAATAAAACCAACAAGAAAACTCCACAACAAGAAACATTCTTTTTTTTTTTTCACTTTCTTAAGAAGCAAACAGAAACTAAAGAACTGCGTACAAAATTCACTAAAAGAAAGAGGGCCAAAAGAGAACACTCTCATGCAAATATTACATACCAGTCGAGACTCCTGTGTTGCCCCCGATTCTTGATCCATTCCCTCAATACAGTTCCAAGTAAAACTCAGCAGCACTTCTGTTACTTGAATTAAGGTGATTTTTCTTTTTGTTTATGAAAAGAAAGTAAAGAAACAAAGTGATATCTGGTGAAAAAGAATTAGTGGGTGGTGCCTTGGATAGTACTGATTCTGTTGAAAATGCAGCATATTGCTGGAGTTATTAATAAAATCCACTTATATTCTATTATCAATAAGGCCATGAATGGAATGCGCAGAGAAGAGAGTTAATAAAGAAAGTATTGAGAGAGGCAGTTAAATAGAAAGTGTCAAAGAAATCTGCAGCAAATTTTCCATCCTTTTGGATTCGCATGTTACGGTGGTTTCTAAATTCGGGTTTGTCCAATTGTCTCGAAGCCGATGAATGACTACTTTAATACTATAAAAATTATAAATTGAAAGGCAAGAACTCACGATCGAGTCGAGGCAAAGATTGGAAAACTACTTATTTATTTTCTTTTGTGTGGCATAAAATATGCATGGTGAAAGGTTTCCTAGTTTCCTGATAGTATTAGGATTATTACAGATTGGGTTTTAATTTCAGTTTAAATAAGTCCCTAGTCTTTAGGAAGTTGTTCACAGCTTTAACACTTTCTTTAGGGATTTTTTGTTTTGACTCTTTCTTGTTGCACCTACCACGTTGTTATAGACGTGGGCTATTTTCTAGCTATTCTAGTTATTCATGTAAGGCTATATAATAGCCACTGTTATTCAATAAAGATTGTATCATTCAATTCAGTTCGTGTGTTTGAGTTTTTTGTTCTCATTCTCAACAAACTGGTATCAGAGCCCCCACTGGGCCCGTGAGAGAAAAAAAAGCCGCAGTCTTTTTGAGTGATTCCAACAACACAGAGTGAGGAAGTGAAAAGATGGCAGCAGAGTCAAGTAACTTTGCGCAACCTTGCATCCCGAAGTTTGATGGAGATTATGAGCATTGGAACATGCTAATGGAGAATCTCCTACGTTCAAAGGAGTATTGGAGTGTTATAGAGATGGGGTATGCAGAGCCTGCACCTGGAGAAGTTTTAACTAGTGCACAGAGAAAAATCTTGGAGGAGACAAAGTTGAAGGATTTAAAGGCTAAGAATTATCTCTTCCAATCCATTGACAAGTCCATCCTAAAGACAATTGCTCAGAAGGAGACAGCAAAGCAATTATGGGATTCCATGAAGGTTAAGTACCAGGGAAATGCTAGAGTGCAACGTGCTCAACTTCAAATCCTTCGCAGGAATTTTTAAGTGTTGGAAATGAAACTTGGAGAATCTGTCACAGACTACTTTGCAAAGGTGATGCTGGTAGCAAATGACATGAGAAATCTTGGAGAAAACATGCCTGATGTGAAGATTGTTGAGAAGATCTTGCACACACTTACTGAGAAGTTCAACTATATAGTTTGTTCAATTGAGGAGTTGAAAGACATCAACCATCTTTCAGTGGATGAATTGCAGAGTTCATTACTTGTTCATGAACAAAAGTTTTGAAAGAATGAAAGAGATGACCAAGCATTGAGAGTCTATGATGAAAGAGTTAGCGGAAGAGGCCGAGGAAGAAGCAATTACAAAGGAAGAGGTCGTGGAAGAGGACAAGTGTTCAATAGAGCCACGGTGGAATGCTTCAAGTGTCACAAACTTGGACATTTCCAATATGAATGTCCAACCTTGAACAAGGAAGTCAATTACACAGAGCTGAATGAAGAGGATGAGATGTTGTTGATGTCATATGTTGAATTGCATAAGGAGAAATGGAATGATGCATGGTTCCTTGATTCAGGATGCTCCAATCATATATGTGGATACCGAGGTATGTTTACCAATTTAGATGAAAGTTTTCAACACTCAGTTAAGCTGGGAAACAATAGTAGAATGAATGTGGTTGGAAAAGGAAATGTGAAGCTACTATTGAATGGAGTTAATCATGTTGTCAATGAAGTGTACTATGTTCCAGAGCTAAAAAATAATCTCTTGAGCATAGGACAACTTCAAGAGAAAGGTTTGGCAATTTTAATTCAAAAAGGAGTCTGTAAGATTTACCATCCAGAGAAGGGTTTAATCATTCAAACCCAAATGAGCACCAACAGAATGTTCATCCTGCTAGCACAGACCCAAGCTCAAGTACCTACACAAGCTCAGCCAGAAAGATGTTTTCACACCAGCGCTCAAGATCTTTCCTATCTTTGGCATAGACGATATGGCCATTTGAGCTATAAAGGTTTAAGAACCTTACAATGGAAGAAGATGGTACGTGGACTTCCTAATTTTCCTGCCTCAAGCATAACCTGTACAGAGTGTATCAATGGCAAGCAACATAGAGATACCATACCAAAGAAAAGTACTTGGAGAGCAAGTCAAAAATTGGAACTGATTCATGCCGATATTTGCGGTCCTATCTCACCAGAATCCAACAGTGGAAAGAGGTACACATTGTGTTTTATTGATGATTTTAGTCGGAAATCATGGGTGTTTTTATTAGTTGAAAAGTCTGAGGCACTGAATTGTTTTAAAAGGTTTAAAATAATGGTGGAAAAGGACACAGGGATGTTTGTGAAATGCTTACGGACTGATAGGGGATGAGAATTTACTTCCAACGAGTTCAATGAATTTTGCAGACAAAAGGGAATCAAGAGACAACTGACCACTGCATATACTCCATAACACAATGGTGTAGCTGAAAGGAAAAACAGAACAGTGATGAATATGGTTCGATCTATACTTTCTGACAAAAGAATTCCGAAGACATTCTGGCCGGAGGCAGTGAATTGGACCTTCTATGTTTTAAACAGGTGTCCAACCTTAGCAGTAAAAGATCTTACACCACAAGAGGCATGGAGCGGGATAAAACCCTCAGTAGATCACTTTCGAGTCTTTGGTTGCTTGGCTCATGTACACATTCCAGATGTGAGAAGTAGTAAGCTTGATAATAAAAGTTTTCCTTGTGTATTGTTGGGAATTAGTGAGGAGTCAAAGGGGTATAGATTGTTTGATCCTATCACTAAAAAGATTATAGTGAGCAAGGATGTGATTTTCGAAGAAGAAAAACAGTGGGATTGGGATATGTCTTATGAGAAGCAAATTCTTTTAGACTTAGAATGGGGTGAGAATGAAGAAAACAGTGAGGGAGATAGGGAGAGTGATGGAGGAACTAAAAATGTTAATGATGGTGAGAAGAGAAACAGTGGTGTAGAGTTTGGTGAGGGAGATAGAACTAGAGATGAAATAGGTGAAAATGAAGGGAGAG